TTCTTCAAGTTCCACTAGCAATTGAATAAAAGGAAAAGGAAACTTCAATAGTGTTTCCACTTCGAACGAAAAGGACTGGTATGATTGCGGCTGTGGAATATATGAACAAAATTGTGTCTGATGAAATCAACCTTCTCAAGGTGGAATCAGACGATATGATTCCCTATTTCAAAAAAGTTTCAGATAAAATGTTAGTGAAACTTTTGGAAAGAGGTATAGGTATTTACCACGACGATATGGTACCATTGGATAAACTTATTGTTGAGCGAATGTTTGAGAGTGATTACTTGAAGGGTTTCTTTTTGCTACCAAGTCCACTGCGAAATATAGTCCTTCTGCCAGCAACATTCTTGGTTATGGGCACTCAGGAGTACGGAATGGTCGTGAAACCCATGGGTATGTGGGACTATACGCTAGTGGACATGATGATGGGAGATGGTAAGGGATGCTTGTTCTGATAATGGAAAAGTGTGCTGATCCAATGACCACACCAGCGAAGCTTGAGTATTACAACTACTTTTTGAACGAAGCACTTCCTGTTGAAAGTCATGTTGGTTCTTCATTGCACGATGTTCTACTGCACGAGATCAGTAGCCGGTCGTTGAGAGCCAAGCAGGAATGTATTGACTGGTTGACATTCACTTATTTCTACCGGAGAATTCAGCTCAATCCAAGTTTCTACGATGTCAAGGATACTTCTCACCTTGGTATTTCTGAGTATTTATCTGAGTTGATTGAAAACACACTCAATGACTTGGCACAAGCACAGATGATTGAGTTGGAAGACGAGGACGAGGAAGAAGAGGAAGAGGTGATTTCTCCTTTGAATGGTGCCATGATCGCTGCCTACCACAATGTCTCGTACCTCACAATGAAGGAATTCAGCCGTCTAGATAACAAGGCCCAGAATGCGTGGTATACTCGAGGTGATCACCTCGGCATCAGAATTCGAATCGCTACCTATTCGTGAAGACGAAGAAGTTGTTCTTTCAAGAATTTACCACAAAGTTCCAATCAAGACAAACAGTGTTGATTACGACTCGCCATATTTCAAGGCATTTGTTCTTCTTCAAGCACATTTTTCTCGGTTTTCTTTGCCTGCTGACTTGGCACTGGACCAGAAAGATTGTGCTTCAGAAAGTGCTAGATGTGTTGCATGCTTGCGTAGACCATTTGTCCAGTGAAAGGTTACTTGAATGCTCTCCAGGCTATGGACATGTCCCAGATGATAGTGCAGGGATTATGGAGCAACGATAACGTTTTGAAGCAAGTTCCAGGGTTCACAGACGAGATAATTGCCCGGTGTACTGCCAAAAACGTGGAAATGGTTTTCGATATCATGGCTCTTGAAGATGATGAGCGAGACGAGATTCTTCAGCTCGAAGGCCCAGCGCTCAACAAAGTGGCCGAGTTTGTCAACAGCTATCCTAACATCGATGTCAGCTATGAGTTGGACTTGTCACAACCAGTGCGTGCAGACGAACCCGCTCAGATCAAGGTAATTTAATTTCCAGAGATGAAGACGTTGATGATCTCCTGGTGGTCAGCGAGCGGTACCCATGGCCCAAAAACGAGGGTTGGTGGATTGTGCTCGGAGATTCGGCGTCAAAGCAGCTTTATGCCATAAAAAGAGCCACTGTCAGCAAACAGGACCAAAGTTTCGATCTAGAGTTCACCGTCCCAAATGCTGGAGCTCACAATCTTACCTTGTGGTGTATGTGTGATTCATATTTGGATGCTGATAAGGAGGTGGAGGTGAATGTGACAGTACAATAGAGCAACTACACAGTGGAGGTGAATGTAATAGTAGAGTAGAGAGCACCAATATAGATTTTTTTTTTAGTTTGGCTCGCTACCCCGGATCCAGTTGAGTCATCGTGAGAATCTCAATTTTTCAATTCAAGAAATCAAACTGCAAAAAACACCCTCCCCCCAAACCACCATGGACAAAAGCAAGAACATATTGACGCCGTACATCAAGTCTTTGATGTTGGAGCATTCCGAATTTGACCCCGGAAAGACCTTCAAACCGTATTAAGATTGGTGTTTCGAGGGGTCCCTTCCGATGTTCAGATAGCCGCTTTCTTGACGGGATTGAGAATAAGGGGTCTTGACCACCACCCAGACTACTTGGCGGCAGCCGTGAGTACTATTCTAGAGTTTTCCGACATTATAGACCCTCAATTGGTCGATTCAAAGGGTTACATCGACGTAGTGGGAACCGGTGGTGACGGACAAAACACCTTCAATGTCTCGACATCTTCGGGAATTGTGGCAGCTGGCATGGGCTTACCGGTATGTAAACATGGAGGCAAAGCGTCGACATCGACGTCTGGTGCGGGTGATCTTTTGAAACATCTTGGTGTTGACTTATCTGTTGTCAACGCCAAAACCACACCTGAAATCGTGAAAAATTGCCAATTCTGTTTCTTGTTTGCGCCCTCTTTCCACCCAGGAATGGGCAAGGTGGCCAGCATACGGGGACAGCTAGGAATCCCCACAATCTTCAATATTTTGGGACCACTCATCAACCCAATACCGATCCAAGCTCGTATTTTGGGAGTCTACAGTGAAAAATTGGGTGAATCGTACGCTCAGGCAGCCGCTAAATTGGCTGAAACGAATAGTGCCCACGTAAGAACTATGGTAGTTTTCGGAGAAGTGGGCTTGGACGAGATTTCACCAATGGGTCCCACAAAGTACTGGATGGTCGAATCCGATGGAACAATTACAAAAGGTACAGTTACACCCTACGACTTTAACTTACCCGAACACAAGCTCGACCACGTTCGCTCTGGAACCCCCGAGGAAAATGCACAGATTCTCTACCATATTCTCCGTCAAGATGACCCCGAGTTCAAAATCAAGCCTTCTCAAAACCACCCTATAGTTGACTATATTTTGATGAACAGTGCCGCCTTGGCAGTCGTGGCTGGTCTCACGGACTCATGGCCCGTTGGAGTGGAGCTTGCGAAGGCAGCAATCACGAGTGGAAATGCATTGAAAGAATTGGAAACTTTCGTAGAAGTCACAGCATCCTACTCAAAACAATAGACTATATCACTATTTAGCTAACTTATTCTAGATGATACTGTAGGAATAGTCTACCATATTCAACACTAGCAATTCCATAACAAAATGAGTTGTATACCCTTTGAGTTAAATTAGTTTTACCCTAAATTCATTTTACCCTAAATTAGTTTGTCTTGGTTACCGTAAATTCGTTTTCTGATTTCTGTATGCATTCCCCCATTTTTCTTCTGCCTGCACCTAACACTCAAATCAACCGCGATCGCGTCACAAACAAACAATCTCAAGTAGCCCTATGTTTACTACGAAAAATCTCATAGGAACACCCCAAAGGGGACCTCGTTCCTACGAGTTTACCCCCATAGGAGCATCGCGGAGAACAAACCAGGAACCAGAAGATAATATAAACCAAAATATGACCACTCGCGCTTCGCTCAGACGCACAAACGAACCTTCAAACAACATTAAAAACCCGTTAAAAGTTGACCAATCCTTTCTAGAGTCGTTTGAGACGACCAGCGTACTCGGGTCAAGCAACATAAATACGCCCTTGGTACCCCTACGCGAGAAAAGAGCGCCAACAGTCGATGTTCTCAAGCCTCAAAATAACATTCTCAGTAATGGGGCAACAATTCGTGACCAACAACAAGAAAACAAACGCCTTGAGACCGAAAATTACAATCTTAAGATCAAATTAGCGACATTCACCAGATTTTTCGACCTGTCGCCGGAAGACCAGCGTAAACTTCTCACTGAAAACGTCGACTTGAAGCAGCAGTTGATGGAGAAAGTACACGAGATCGATGTTCTCCGCGCAGAAATGGCAAAGATACACGAGGACAAAGAAAATACACTTGTTTCAGCTCTGCCTGGGCCCAATTACAGCTTCATGATTGCGGAGAGAGACGACACAATTCGCAAACTCAAGGATGTCATAGACAAAAACAACAACGAACTACAGACCCTCAGAGCACAGGTCGCAATCGCAAACCGCAACTCCCTGAGATCTCCATCAGACGACTTGTATGGCAAGTTGGAGTATATCCAGAACGAGAACCAGAGCCTCAGGCGCCAATTACAGACACTACAAGACCAATTAATACAATCACAGAACGACGACAGCCCAAGCAGAAACTTGGACAACATGAGGAAGAGAATACAAGAAGTAGACAACGAGGCCATTTTGTGGAAAGAGAGATTCGAGAACCTCTCTGCAAAGTTGCGAGCCGAGGAGGCAGACAAATACTCAAAGCAAGACATGGAGAAGGCATGGCACGAGGTCGAACAGGCACAGAAAGCTTACCAGAGCATTCGATCCGAGCTCGAGGCGACACAAACAGAACTTCGCCTTGCTCGTAGTGAGTATTCCACTGCTAACAACAAGTCCGAGACCATACTGGAAGAGATGAATTCACTCAAATCGCAAATTAGAAGGCTTGAGCATGAAACGAGTTCACTTCAGAGTTCACTTTCAGCAAAGAATAATGAGCTTAAAAGCCTCCAGTTAGAGCGTGAGGGAGACAAGCAGGCGATAATCCGACTCCAAAACAGACTAGAGACTCTCAATGAGGATCTTCAGGACAAGGAGAAACAGGAGTATTCTCTTAAAAAACAAATCAATTCGCTAATCAATGAAAGAGACAACAAAAGCAACGACACAAAAGCCTTCCATCACCAATACGAGTCAATGAAAGAACGAGAAAGGGATTTAGCTGCAAGAAATAAAGATTTACAGTTGGAACTCGAGAAAGTCAAAGATCAGGTGTATCTGGCCACTAGCAATTATTCAACCAACGATGAGCGCCTTAATGATGCATACGATGAAATTAAAGAATTGAAAGACAAGCTCGACTTTTTTGAAGGTGAATATGAACAGCTAGAGAAAGTGCTTCGTGACACTGAGCAGGAAGGCGATACTCTCAAGAGCCAGCTCAATAAAACCAAGTTCACGGTCGCTGATTTGGAAGATAGTAACCAATACTTGAAAAAGAAATTAGAAGCATCTGAAAGTCAAATCAATGAATTGGAAGCCAGCATAGACAGGTTGAAGTCTCAAGCGACTCCAACGGCGGGAACAAGTGCTATTGATCAGTTGGATAAGTATAGCGCTCGCCGTCTTGAAGAGGAGAAAATCGAATTGTTGGACGAAATCGATACACTCAAGTATGAACTTTCACGCGTGAGATTTGAGTTGAACCAAGAAAGAACTCTGAAGAGCATGGAATCCAACCGTGAGCATGAAACGTTCGAAATACGTCGCCTTACATCGGAACGTAACCAGTTGCAAAATAGGCTCGAGGAGAAATCCCTTCAAGCGTCTGAACTCGAAGCGAAATGCAGAAGGTTGACCCTTGATCTCAGTGACAAAGAAAAAGCTATTGAAACACTTGAGAGCCATATAAGAGATTCCAACAGACACAAAAAGTTGGACATGTTTGTGGAAGATGAAGAGAGAACGCAATTCTTGAAAGAGAAAGCGTCAAACGAATCACAAATAAGATTGTTGCGCCATCAGAATGAGAATTTACAGAAGGAATTGGACTCTCAAATTGCATATTACAAGAGTAAAGTTGACGATTTAATGCAATCTTTCGGAAAGCACACAGGAAATGAGAACCTTGTGTCCAACTCTATGGTTGCTTTGCTAGAGGAGCAAGTTGATGAAGCACAAAAAACAAAGCACGAGCTTTCATTCAAGCTAGCAGAAGCGAATAGTAGGATTGACGAACTCCAGGAATCCTCCAGGCAAGCAGAAGCTAAACTGAATAGCAATGCCACACAGAGCAAAGAGTTACAAGACTTGAATGCGGCACTTGAGAGTAGTGAAAAGTTACTCAAGACTGAAAATAGTCAGTTGAAGGACAAGACGAAGAGACTTTCTGAAGAGGTTGATAGAGTAACTCGACACTGTGAGAAGCTTGCGAGCAAGCTCAGAGAACTCAAAGATCGAGAACTCGAGCGCGAGGAAACTGTTGACCAGCGTTTGGCGAAGTCTGTTGAGGAGATCAGCAAGTACAAGCAAAACAATAGAAGTTTGCAACGTAAGATCGATGATTTAAGTGAGCGTCTCAATGTCACTCAGCTAGATACTTCTCGCAAAACCAAGAACCAATTCGACCTCCTCCAGAACGAGCTCCAATTTTACCGGGCAAAATTGTACGATATGAATCTCCGAGCCAACGATCTCAGTCTTGTGAACTCCTTCGTCAGCAAGGCGGTCAACAATTCCGACAAGCAAATCAAAGACCAGCTTGTCAAACTCAACAGCGTTACCGGATTCCCCAAACGAAGTGCAGAGCCACAGAAACTCACGTTTGCTATAGTAGCCAAGTTTGTGTTGGCGTCGGTCAGAATCAAGAGACGGTTTGAGAAATCAACCCAGAGGCAAGAGCGACTTCAAGAGTTGCGGAGCCAAATAGAGAAACAAAGGTACTTTGTTTAGTACTATAGTGCAAGTGCACAATAGTGTACAAGTGTACAAGTGTACAATAGTGTATAATACTGTATAATATCATGAACATCATCATTCATTATCATTAATGCTAGGTTTCTTTAGACGTGGAAGTTGGTCTTCGATTTGTATTCTTTTCTTTATCACCTCATTGACCGAGCAATGGGGGTCTGAAACCCTTTTGTGTCGGCCGAAGGATGGCGAGAACGCACCCGCGGAGTCTGTGCTGGACCCGAGCCCGAATTGGACCGTATTTTGAACGAAAATGTGTTGTTTTGGTGCGATAAGATGTCAGTGCTAATGTTGGCGGAAATGTCAGCTCCAGCTGTAGAATCGTTAAACTCGTCTGGCGAGCCAATTACTTCCTGACGCAAATGGGTACGACCGTTAGCCAAGAAGTCGGCCAAGAGAGCCCCTGAGTCCTCTATTTCGGCATTTTGCTCGGTAAACATGGGAGTAAGAATTGTGGTATCGTGGGTCTTTTGCAAATCGGAATCTGAATTCAAGTATCGATCACGAAGACTCAAGTCCATCCAGCGGTTCTGGTGCAATTGTCTTCGATTTTTCGTCATTTTGGACCCTGTAACCGACAAGTTCATAGCAAGACCATCTTCGTCATCTTCATCGAGTAGGAGGTGGGGAAGCACATTTGCAGTGGCTTCCATCAACGACAGCGTATCGATATCGTCGTAGGGAATAGGAGCTTCTTTCCATAGTTCCATATGCAAAACATGGCTCAGGCTGTTCAAATGTGCGTACGAGTAAGCCGAATCACGGGACATGAGAGAAGAGTTAAGACAATCGGGTGCGAATAAAGATTGATCGAAATTGATTTTCGCGGAGAATTACGCAGAGAAGTAGCGAGCAGTCGCAGCGAGCAGCCGCGCGAAAGAGAGGCTGCGAATTATTTCGCACTTTGACTGATTCGCGCCAACTGATAGAAGATGGTCATAATAATGTACAATTGTAAGCGGTAAAAGGTAACGAACCAAGAATCCGGATTGTTCTACGTTGAGTTGCAAGACATAAATTTGTTATATACTGTTTAGGTTGACCAGTTAACTAGTAACTTTCATTGAAATTATCAGCTTCACGTATCAGTCAACTTACCCACTAAAGCATTCCCACGAGCGAAAGCATGACGGCCAACGCAGAGAGCTCGAGCTTTCTTCCAAAATTCTCAGTAGCTGACGACACCGTGGAATTAGCTGAACTACTTGTCGTAGAAGAAGATGTCAGATTAGAAGAGCCGTGGCCAGAGTGCTCATCATGGTCGTCGTCCTCGACTAAAAACTGAACTTCGCCGCTAGAGGAGTCCAAACAGAAGGTGGCAGAACCATGGTTATGGCAGCCAGTGTAGCTTGAAGGCGTGGTTGTTGGGGCTGGGGAAATGTAGCCTTCATTTCCACTTCCATCTTTACAGAATAGCGACGAACCATGGAAATGGCATCCAGTCACGGCGGCGGTTTGTGCCGCGGCAGAGGTGACGTGGGCTACTGATGAGTCCAGCGACAGAGGAGTACCGATGCTCTGGTTGGAGGAATTGTCTTGAGAGGAACTGTCAGAAGAACTTTCGTGGTGGTGGTGGTGGTCGTCCTCGTCGTCGTGGTCATGGCTGTCGCTAGTGCCTGTCGCCTTTGAGTCACCCTCTGCCACAAATTGGACTTCGGCGTCTCCTTCAGCGAAACAGAACGTCTCGGATCCATGGTTATGACAGCCAGTATAGCTCTTCGGAGCGGCTGTAGAAGCTGGAGCCGGGGTCACATAGCCTTCATTACCTTCTCCATCGATACAGAATTGAGTAGCGCCGTGGAAATGACACCCGGTGATGGAAGCAGCTTCGGCGGTGATGGCAGTAGCAAGAAGAACGAGAACCTTGAGCATCCTATGAACTTTTTCGCAGCCGTGAACTTTTTCGCAGCCATTTTAAATTAGTGCCAAGAGTTTTCATATAACCACTAAAGTGTGCCAGAGGAGCATATTTGTTCTTGGCAGCATGTCGCTACCAAAGGAGGCAAACAGAAAACCATTAAAGAACCACATTGGGCAATGGAACCTGTCGCTAAGCTTGTTGAATACGATGCAAAATTGAAAATTTTCGATTGCCGCAAATTTGCCCAGAAAACCAAGACCAAAACCTGTCAAACTCGACGCACATGATTAATTCTTAAAGAAGGTTAATTTAATTGACCAAAGCAGACAAAACTGACCAGAAGTGTGCCCTGGGCTCAAGGTCTTGCAGCTTGGATATGCAGACACTTACGAACTCCTTCGGCCTTACCGAAACTCATAGACATTGATGGTTATACAAATTCTTGGCACTCGTATATAAGATTGTCAAGAATGAAGTGTTAAGATAATGATGTGGAAGAAGACATTCTTGCTTGCTGCCTTCGCTTCAGTTACTTTGTGCGATTCCATCACCGACTGTCATGCTCATGGTTCAGTTTACTACTGTGTAAATACAGATGGTGTTGAGGCGTCAATTTCGCCAGCACCCACTGGGAACCTGAAGCCTTCTAGCTACACTAGCTGCCATAACCATGGGTCAGAAACTTACTGTATGAATGGTGACGATGAAGTTAGGTTTATGGTAGAGACTACCGCCGAAAAATCTTCTGCCTCGATCACCAGCATGTCTGCCCAGACTACTGCTGTCACCGGCTGCCATCTCCACGGTGCAACTCAATTCTGTCTCGATGGAAAAGGTAATGAGGGCTACATGTCTCCAGTTCCAACGAATACAAAAAGTGCACCTGTTAGCTATACCGGGTGCCATGCTCATGCTACTGAGACCTACTGTCTTAATGCCGATGGAGAAGAAGTGAAATTTGTGGTTGAGGAAACTGTTGAGGCTGCAAGTGGACTGGACGACGATGGTGAAATGGACTGTCATTTTCACGCTGGAGTGGAACATTGTATCAAAAAAGGTCAACCTGAAAGTGGAGGAGAAGCAAAATCTTGTGCAAGAGTTGACAGAGATTACAATGTACCAGTAAGAATTGGAACCCTTTTTGCTGTTTTGGCAACTAGTGCTATTGGAGTTTTCTTGCCTTTGATCCTCAAGAAAGTTATGAACACAACCTTGGATGGAACTATTGTGATGTTCTTCAAACAGTTTGGTACTGGAGTCATTCTCTCTACTGCTCTTGTCCATTTGACCACACATGCTCAATTGATGTTTGCCAACGACTGTTTGACCTTGCACTACGAATCCACATCGACTGCAATTACCATGGCTGGTTTATTTCTTGGGTTTCTCTCTGAATTTGTAACCACTCGAATTTTGGTTGCAAGAAAGAAGAAAGCTCGATGCCGCCACAGGCTTT